TTCCATTACAGGGTTCCACTCCCTAATTGATTCCCGGCATAACCCGTGGACCTCCTCGGCATAACCCGAGGATATTTTTTTTTCCGGCATAACTCGATGAACTTTCCCGGCATAACCCATGGACCTCCCCGGCATAACCCAAGGACCTTTTCTCTTTTCCGGCATAACGCGATAACTTTCCCGGCATAACCCGTGGACCTCTTCATACAAACCGAGGACCTTTTTCTTTTCCAGCATAACCTGATGAACTTTTCCGGCATAACCCAAGGACCTTTTTCTTTTCCGGCATAACCCGATGACCTTTCCCAGCATAACCCGAGGACCTTTTTCTTTTCCGATATAAACCGATGACCTCCCCGGCATAACCCGAGGACCTCCCCGGCATAACCTAAGGACCTTTTCTTTTCCGGCATAACCCGTGGACCTCCCCAGCATAGCTCGAGGACCTTCTTCTTTTCTGGCATAACCCGATGACTCTCCTGGCATAAGCCGTGGACCTCCTCAGCATAACTCGAGGAACTTTTTCTTTTCCGGCATAACCTTGCCATTTTTCCAGCATAACCTTGCAATCTTTCCAATTTAGGGCCCCAATCCCTAGCTGATTCCATTATAGATATAGGGCTCCACTCCCTAATCTCTTTTTCCCAGGGATACACAATCCTAATTTTATTGCTTTCAATAAAGAAATATCTTTGATTTTGTTGCAATAACTCATGAAATTTTCCTAATGAAAACTGGGGCAGAAAATTTCGTTTGTTTGTTTGCTTTGGTGCCTGAATAGGTTTTCACTGTAAGGCACAAGATTGAAATGACCAAAAGAAGGAGTCTCAACCCAAATAAAAGAAAAGAAGTTTAACTCTGAGTGTAGAAGAGGATAAAGGAAGCGGACTACTCAAAATTTGATTGAAGTCACAAGCTTTGCATGTCCCGCCTTGATCTAAAAAGCTGAAAAGGAATGAACCAGCGGCTGCAGCGAACTAGCATCAAGATTCAGATCAGAGTTTGTAGGAAAAACTATCTAAGACTCAAGATCAAGCTTTAGAAGTTTTTTAGATAGGAATCTTGTAACTCGTAGTTGATAGGTTTAGCTAGTTTAGCCTTTTATTTTTCATTTCGGTGTAATAAGGAGTTCAGCAAGCAGAAACAGCAGAAACAACAGTAAAATTACAGTTCCTGGTAGTCCCAGCTACCAAAACTTCTAGAACTACACTGACCTAATTCTTTTATAGCCAAGGATATGTAGGGAAGCTCCGAAGCAGGGTTCGGTCAGACCTTTTTTCCAAAGATGCTTCCCATGGAGTTTCAAAACGGGCAAAAGTCCCTCATAATTGCTCATTTTGTCTTTGCACGAAAACCCTTCATGTTTCAAGCAAAGAAGGGCAGCTGTGAGCATATGATTTTTACCCTATACAAAATACTCCTATAAAATCCCAAGAAAATAGATTTTTTCTTAATTATTTGTCATTTTTAGGAATTTTTGTAAAATTTCATTAGTGGTTTGCATTTCTGTGCATGCTTAATTTTTATTTAAATCATGAGAAATACCATAAATATCATGCATTGCATTTAGGCTTTATTTTTATATTTTTTAGGATTAATCAGTAATTGTTTGTTTTATAAAATGAAAATCACAAAAAAATGTTTCATTTTTATACGTTTTTCTTTTATTTTAAGGTTATTAATTTTTCACTTTTAATTTGGGATCAAGTAGCTTTTATAATTTTGGTAATTAGTTAATTAGTTTAATTTCACATTTTTAGATAATTTAGGATTTTTAATTAAAAGAAAAAGAAAAGGAAAGGAAATAAAAGAAGGAATTGAGAAAGGGGTTTTATTTTTGAAATTAGGCTCATTTTTACACCCCAATCTGGCCCAAACCCATTCCCAAATTACCCACAACCCAAGCCCAAACGAAGCCTCACCGGTTCAGTTCCCACCCGTTCCCAAACGACCCCGTTTTGTATTGATTAATCACAACCGTTGGATCTTATAAATCCAACGGCTCGGAACTGAAGAGACATTAGGTATATTACTGTCCTAATGAGACCAACCCCACACTTCGGAACCCCCCTCATTCAGTCTCTCCTCTCTCTCAGGAACGAACCCTATCTGCCCTAAAATCCATCGCCGCCTACGTCACAAACCACCCACCAGAAATCGCCTCACGGCTGTTCCAGTATTTTAATCCTCCCTAAAACAACACCATGAATTCCCCATGACCTTCTCATTTCCAATCTCACATCCTTTTCCTTCGAACCCCGGTCAAAATTCTCGAATCTTAGATCAAAAATCGCGGCCAAAAACCCTAATTGTTCCAAATCGCTCCAAATTCACACCCTATAACCCTTGTACCCCTCCCCCCCAAACCCTAAACCACCGTTAATCCCCTTCAAATCAGCCTCAATTCCCTCCAATTTTGAATCTAAGATTCTGAGGAAAAAAACCCTAATTCCTCTTTATTCTTTTCGGTCAGTGCATGGAGTTTATGAACCCAGACGATCATTAGTTGGTTGTTCTTATTAAGAACAGCCAATTAATGGTCGTATAAGTTCATGGGTGTGTCGTGCAAGAGTTTCATCAACTGACCCATTCCAAAGCAGCCTCAGGGCTTTTTCTTTCTCTTTTTCTTTGTTCTTGATTGTCTGCCTCATCTTTGTATTTTTTCTTTTGTATAACCGGCAATTAGGTTTTCCTTTATTTTTAGTTTCTTTACATGGTCACTTGTTCTTTTCTTCTTTTGTTTTCTTCTATCAACTAGTTTTAATCTGTAGTTAATTATCAATTAATTGGTTAGTTCAGGGTTTCAGATTTTTTAATTAGTTCCTAAAAATGTTGTGGTTATCTAATGTTTGTTTTCCAGAATTTGAAATTGTTATTTGAGTTCACTTCTGGACTTAATTAATATTAGCCTTAGAAACATCAGTTAGCTAATTAATCTTTGGAATTATTGACTTCACTGCATTGATTTGCTTTATGTAAAATAGAGATGTCAAAATTCAGTTTAGCTATTTGAAGTTTGGTCTTGTAGTTAGGTAGATAGAACAGCCTTTTATCAATACTCAGGTTGATTTCAATTTAAAATTGCATCAGTTCTCCTACTCTCATTTTGTCAATATTTTGCATCTTTTTACTTGTTCTAATTGTGTTTGACATGATTTGAAAATCAATAGAAACTTTAGGGGCCTAACTGAACCAAAAACGTTTAGGTAAAACTGCAATAAGCAGACTTTAGAAGGGCAATTTGGGGTTTTCTAATTAGGGAAATATCAGAATATTCTAGAATATGGTAGTTGTCCCCATTCTTAGCATGAAAATGCTGGTAATGGATAAGAAAAAGGACAACCAGCTGTATAAAAGAGGTTGTACCTTTCTGCAGTCTAAAATTAGTAAGAATATTCCCTTTTGATCTTTGTTTTGCGCACTTTATAAAAGGGAAACATTCCCTCACTCACACACGCATTTATCATCAAAAGTTACTGCAAAAAATTCCCTTTCCTTGGCTGAAAGATCAAATTTTCAGAAATTTTAGAAAAACCTTCAAAACCTCTTACTCTTTGGTTTTCTACAAGCTGAGCAATATGGTTTGAAATATTTTCTTGGTTCTTTAGCTGGTTTTCTGGTTTCAAAGCTGTTTTCTTCTGATTCAAACTTTCTGATTCATTGTTGGGCTGTTGCTGTGTTTGCGTTTCTATTCTTGCAAGCTTTAGACATTTTCCATCTTACCTTCACCTGTTAATTGTTAATCTTTGTTATTGTTCATAGGTATTTAACCTTAGCCTTTCTTATGTAATGACTTCTTAAAAATGATATATGAATCAGATTTTTGAATAGCATGTCTTTCATGATAGTAGCTTGTTTACTTTAGTATGCATTTGATTGGTTTAGTTATGTGTGTTTAGAGTTTAAAAATGATTCAGCACATTAACTTAGCCAATATATGAGTGTTGTTTGGTGGTTGTATCTTGTGAAAATAGCTTTGCATCATAGTAAAACATTTAGGTTTAATGTTGTTATGCTTTCTTTCTTTCTCTCATCTAATTTCTTTTACTCAAAGCCATTATTTTTCTCTTTCTTTGACTGTTTGATCATGAGTTGTAGCCTGCAGATTTAGCCACTGGTTGGTTAAATCAGCAGGTTCAGAAGCCTGAAAGTGGGACTCACGATGTTCTTTTAATAAAGGAAGACCAAGCTCTAATGGACAAGCCATGTCCAAAAGAGGCAGGAATCCTCTATTAGTTATGCAAATTTGTAATAGTTTTAGCCTAAGTCTAGTTAGTAAAACAGTTGTAGATTCGACTGTTATATAGAATATTTTTTAAGAAAGCAATATTTTTAGTTTAATAGCAATGCAAAGTCTGTTTATTGCTGTAAAATTGCCATTGCATTCGGATTTATTGTAATAAGTGTGTGAGCACATGATTTTTGCCCTATACGAAATACTCCTTTAAATCCCAAGAAAATAGATTTTTGTTAATTATTTGATATTTTAGGAATTTTTGTCGAGTTTTATTTAATTGTTTGCATTTTGTGCATGTTTAAGTTTTATTTAAATCATGAAAAATATCAAAATGTCACACATGGCATTTAGGCCTTATTTTTTCATTATTAGGATTAATTGGTAGTTACTTGTTTTATAAAAATTGAAAATCACAAAAAATGCTTCATTTTTACATTTTTTCCTTTTATTGATACTTTCTTTTTTAATTTAGGATTAAGTAGCTTTTATAATTTTTATAATTAGTTAATTAGTTTAATTTCACACTTTTAGATAATCTAGGATTTTAATTAAGATTTTTTATTAAAGAAAAGAAAAAGAAAAACAAAGAGAAAAAGGAAAATAAGAAGAGAATTTGAAAGATGAGGTTTTAATTCAAATTCGGGTTGTTCTTATATCTAAAATCTGGCCCAAACCACTCAAAGCCCAAAAAAACATACCCGACCCGCCTGCCCGACCCGAACCGACCCAAGACCCGGATCCTTTCTTATTAAACTAACCTAATAACCTAGACCTAAGGAATACGGACCTTACCCTCAGAACTTAGGAAACGGTGGATCTGAAGAGAGACCCCCACCCCCCTTTTTTGAAGCGTCTTCTTCTTTACAGGCTTTAGGAGACCCTTCCATCTCCTCTCCAAACCAATAGCCATGGCTTCACCCTCATCACCACCAAATCCTTCAGCACACGCCATTTAACTCCCCTTCTTCATCCATCATTTCCTCACAGCCACCAAATCGCCGGAAATCCGGCATTCATCAGCTCCCCCTTTCTCTTCGATTCTTTTTATCTCATCTCTAACCTTGAAAAAAATGGAAACAAAGACCTGACAAGCTTGGAGACCAAAAGCAATAGAAAAACCGAATTTCAAAGAAGATCTGAAAGGGAGTTTGGTCGCTGAAATGTTAAAATTCGTCTTCCTCCTTTCTTTGGGCTCGTATGAAGTTGTGAATGGACTGTGTTGCTGAACTCGTTGTTCCCGATTTTAAATGTTCTATTCATCTTCAGCGTTAACTTTACTTGGTTATTTGGGACTGTATTACTGCCGCTAAGGTACTGTCTCCCATTCTCGTTCTTGTAATTCTCATTTTGATTCAATGAAAATATGCTTACAATGATGAGGCAGTGTATAATTATATATTTTCTTGTTACATTCAGCAATTCCTGTCATTGTAGTGTATCATGATTTGATTTTATAGCTAAATGGAATAAAGGTCTCTATTTTCAGGTTGTCATTTTTAAGATGGTTCTGGAACCGGATTATTGGTTTGTCTAGTATTCTACCAGAATTTTTGGCTTAAAATATGGTATACAGTGGGAGGGACTTTAGGGATTTGCCCTCTGGTTTTGTTTAATTATCAATTCCTTTTTGTAAGTAATTAAGTGTCAAGTTGTTTTTTTATTTGAGCTACATGATCCATCTTGATCAAAGTTAGTTTATAATGGACTGAGTTGGACCCTTTAGCATATGAGAATTGGAATGTGAGAAACATATGGTCTTTGACACAAACGGAGTGTTGATGTTAACCAATCTTGTGTATTGTTGCTATTAACCAAGGTATTCTGAATAATGGAAAATTTCTTTCCTTTTTTTTGGTGAAATTTGGTCTTTGACACAAGCGGAGTCGATACAGCGATGTAATTTGCTCATTTTTTGGAGTTTGAATATGCTTGTGGCAAACAGAGCATCTTTGTGGTTGCTAACTTGGTAATTGGTGTGAAAGCTCATACAATATCAAAGTGTCTAAGTTAATTAAGCTAGGTACAAGAAGTCCTTCTATGTAATCACTATTTCTGATTTTCCAAAATAATTCCAAGAGCCATGTGAAGAGCTACTTATTCTAAATCAGTGTCTCGCTATTATGGTATTCAATGGTGAGTTTCAATAGTTTAAGGACGATTCTGAATAATTAAAATACCATTGGAGCAGTAGGCATCATATTTAAAAGTTTAGTCAGGTGTAGATTTGGATGATTCATAATGTCTTGGTTATCTTGAATAAAAATTGTGCTATTGCAGTAGCTTGCAACAACATGTGCATCTAGTCTCGCCCTTTCCAATTTCCTTAGCAAATTACAGTCATTTTCATACAAATAGATTGCATACATTTTGGACCTTTTCACATTTGATCTCAAACTTAGAAATAATTAATTCATGAATATCATAGCTTGCTTTAGGCACGATTAATAAATAAACCATCGTGATTATGGGTGCGGTTCCCGAGACATAGTCATGATGCCTAATTCCCAGATTCGGGGGTACATTTCATGTGACCCGATTATAACAACTTCGAATAATAAAGCCCTTTGAAATAAATTGAGATGTGTCATGCCAAACAAAATTTATAATGCTCATAAGACTAGATTCAAGAACTAACCCCTTTTAGTTAAAATAATATGAGGTGTGCCGTGCCAAATAAAACCCCTAGGCCCATGGCCCTCACAAAACTAGTTAGCTTTTATAGAAAATTTGAGGTGTGCTATTTTCGTTAAATAAACCATGGCCCTCATGTAATTAATACTAACTCTTTAAAAATTGGGGTGTGCTATCAATTGAACTTTCCATGGCCCTCGCAAACTTAGTTATTAATTTGAACCTTCGTAGTTGCTTTAGGCGCGTTCTATAAATTGATTTTCTTTTATTTATTGACTTCGGGTGCACATTTCATGTGACCCGAATTCATTTTCTTAACAATGTTAAATAGAACGTGTCATGAACCGCTGGTGCATTTTAATGGCGTGGTTCAAGGCATGTTTAAATAACATTGAATCTTCCTAAAATAATTAAAAGCGGTTAATAAGTTAAAAATGCACCATAGGCTAAAACGTGTAATAAATCGGATAATAGGCCAATTATAATGGTTTAAGCGACCGTGCTAGAACCACAAAACCCGGGAATGCCTAACACCTTCTCCCGGGTTAACAGAATTCCTTACTTAGAATTTTTGGTTCGCAGACTTCAAAAGGAAAGTTGAATTTTCCTCGATTTGGGATAAATAAACCGGTGACTTGGAACACCAATTAAATTATTCCAAGTGGAGACTCTGATTAAATAAATAATCTCATATCGAATAATGTCACTTAAAGCGAAAAAACTCCCTTATGCCCTCGGGGTGTATAAAAAGGAGGTGTGACAGCTCTGGCGACTCTGCTGGGGATCCAAGCTCAGAACTTCGGTTCAGTGTTTAAGAATTCGAGCTTAGAATAAATGTTATAGTTGGCTTGTTTTATCTGATTTTTACATGTTGAGCCTAATGTGCTAAATGCCGCTTTTACCGCTTTGATATTGTTTGGATTGTATATAAATTTCTACGAAAACCTCTTCTCTCTGAGTCTTCTAAATCATCTAGGAAGTGTACACTTCGTGTGACTTCTTTTCTGTTAGAGTCTTATCCCAATTTTAGAACGAGGTTCGGACAAGTTGCAAAGCCGGTGAAGCTTCTGTATTCTCGGTACGCTGCCTCCCTCGGCTCGAGATGTCTGCTCGGGTAAGCCAGGTCTAGGACAATACACCCAGGTTTTAAACCTAGTATAACAAAACCTTATGCCGGATCCCTAGTAGGAACGCTTGTTTGCATCACGTGCATTTGACTTTGGAGATTCAACGTAGGGGTTGGGTTTGTCTAGGACAGGTGTACCCGAAATGAAAAGACCATCCTGATGTATTCTACTTGCTACTCGTGCATTTATTTGCTTCGGATTGCATGTTGACCGGCTTATGAATAGTGGAGAAAAGTTGGGAAAAAGAAAAATCAATTTGAGGACTGAGAGAGATAATCACTTGTTTTTGAAAAAAAACTGATATCCAAAAAGTACCGAAACTCTGCCGAAATTTTGAAAAAAAGAAAAGAAAAAATAGTTAGTATTGTTTTTTGCTATGTCAAATCTGCCTGAACTACGCCAGTTTGATTCCCGTCAGATGTGGGATACGTAGGCAACCCCCATCGGCTCCAACTTCATTTTTGTAAAAGTAACTCAAAAAGAACAAAAATTTTAGTGTTTTTTCAAGTGATGTCATTCTTGCCTAAAATAGCCAAATGTCCCCCAAAAGGGCGCCGGAAGGTTGTTTTTGCAAGAACAGCCACCTATGGTCTCTTTTTTAAATTTTGGTTGTTTAGCATACACAGCCCTAAAATCGTCTTTTCTGAAATGCTGAAGGGTCGTATTTGCAAGGCCGGGCTTTTGTTTTGAAATGAAAAATTTTGAAAAAAAAATTAATAACTTTTTCTTGAGTCAAAATGAATCATGATCTTTTTAAATAAATCACCTTTATAAATGTGCAGGATGAGCACAAATGAAAATGAACCCTTTGCAGTTCTTGAGAAAATCCCTTTACAGCTCTATATATGGTGGAACGACTTAGGAAAAGTCAGCAGAGGGACTGTGGTAAAGGTTTTGGGTGGTCTCGTGGGACTTCTGAAAATTAAACCGAGGTTGGATGTGATTCAGGCCTTGATAACTTTCTGGGACCCGACTCACAATGTGTTTCACTTTTCTGATTTTGAGCTCACCCCCATGCTAGAGGAAATTGTAGGCTATGCCGGTCTTAGTGGGAACCTCAGAAGTCGGTACCCGGTGTCGCAAGAACAGTGTCTCCTCACAAGTTTCTAGATATGTTGAGTATTAGTCGGGAGGTTCAGGATGGGAATTTATCCGAAGGGCTTTGCACTTTCCACTTCTTGTACCAGCACTATGGCAATCCCCTTGGTTTTGAAGCACCAGATACGGGTATGACCCATGCAGGAAACAAAGATAAATGGAAGGGACGGTGGGGTTTGGCCTTTGTAGTAGCATTCTTGGGTGTCATAATCTACCCAAGAAAGGATGGCAACATAGAATTGGGTCTTGTGGGAATGGTCGACGTCATGATTAAGAAAGCTAACGGCTCTCTTGTTCCAATGATCTTAGTTGAGATTTACCGAGCCTTAACCATCTGTCGAGAAGGGGGAAGATTCTTCCAGGGTTGTAGACTGCTACTACAACTTTGGATACAAGAACATCTTTGACACCGTGTGGGGTATATGAACTACGGCATGACTGGTCTGAATTGCATCGAAGGGCGGGAGTTGAATTTCCAGAAGGTACAGAGGCTTGGTTTGTGCACTTGAGTTCTTTAATTTCGGACAAAATTGAGTGGACTTTCGGATGGCTCCCTGCCACTGAAGTCATCTACATGTCAGCTGATGTCACGACCCAAACTGAAGGGCCGCGACGGGCACCCGGTGCCTTACTCAACCGAGTACCAACGTAACATATCTTTCTTATCATGTTATCATGAGTAAATGAGCCAGAAAACCCGTCATGAGATAACAAGAATAAAACATAAGGGAATACTCAACATATGAAGACCCAACATGATATACAAACTAATATATGTGACATACGGGCCTATAAGGCCGACATGACCATTAGTAAACTCGAAACA